GGACCTGGATGGAGAGGCTTGGGAGAAGGTCACGTCAGCAGAAGAAGGTAAAGAACGCTTATGTGCTTCTTAATGGTGGGGGAGATCTTTGGACCAACTCCTTCTTTATTTCTCCAGAGAGCAGGGTGGGAGGTTGTGCTTGTTCACCCCAGGATGGCAAATAAAATTGGGGGGGGCTTATATAATCCCTCCACACCCTTTCAGTCTCTTGCTAAACTCCCTGTCTCTCTGTGGCTCCTGCGGCCCTAATGGCTAATTAAAAGCAAATCCCTGGTGGCCTCCCAGGGCGGCAGGAGCCAAGGCCTCCCCCCTCTCTGCTCCTCCTCTCCTAGCGTGGACGGAAGGGCTGGACTGGTGCAATGCCGGCTGGGTCATGGAGGGAAGTGTGCACTACCCCATCCGCAACTCCCGGAAGCCCTGCGGAGGCCTTCTGCTTCGGCCCGGGGTGCGAACCTACGGGCCCAAGGACAAGCTGAAAGATCGCTTTGACGCCTTCTGCTTCACTTCGAGCGGGCAAGGTAGGTGGAAACTGGCCGAGGGACCCCCACCAGTGAGGCCCAGATTGGGGGCAGCTTCTTTTCCCCCATTCTGGAAGGGACCCAGAAGGAGCCAGTTTCTCGGGCCTCCCCTTGGAAGGAGGGCTGTGGCATGGATGGGCCAAACCCATTTGGCAACTTCCAGACTTGCCCCTGGTGCAGCTCATGAAGCTAATGGGCACAGTGAGGCAGGCCCTCCACGCCACTTCAGTCTGGACTGGGTGAAGCTTCCAGGTGGCCCTCAAGCCCTACGTAGAGCACGCTTCAGTAGCCAAACTGCAGGGTGACCAGAGTGCCATTGTCCAAAGGGCCGCCTGGGGTACCAGATGAAGCTGCTCAATGGCTTCCTGGGCAGGGCTGCCAGCTGCTCTCCAGGAAGACCTCCAGCTTGTGGGCCCTCATGAATGGGGAAGGGCTGCCCTGCCTGATGGAGCATCGCCCAAGATCAGATTGCTAAAAGCGACCCCACCCAGAATAAACCCAAGCCCCCCCTCTTGCCCCTCCCTCTCCTCTGGTCCTCTTGCAAGGGGGAAAGGGTCCATTGGGGGGAGTGCAAAGCTTTGGCTGACAGCAGCTGCGTTGGGGAATCTGGGCCCTGTAGCTTCTTCATCTCTTGGTTTTTTGTGGGAATGCACCCCCATTACTGCTAACCGCCCTCCGTTCTGATTTGGGCTGTGAAGCTTCTTCCCAACTCTGGCTCTCACGTAGCCACCCTCTCTCCCCCCCCCAC